AGAGAGAGAGAGAGAGAGAGAGAGAGAGAGAGAGAGAGAGAGAGATGGGCGGAGGCATTAGAGATACGCATGTTGCCAAGAAACAAGAACCCCGTTTTATGCAAATTGGTTGCGTGCATTTCAGTAACCTTCTAGGTTAAAGGTGTATCATGAAAGAGTATGACAAGGTAGAGTTGTTTTTGAAAAGTGAATGAGCAGTATTTTAACGAGCATAATAGTTTTACAATAGGCTACAACTGGGGGAAATTTAGCTTCGATAGCCGACAAGGCCAAAATAACAAACAAAAAACAACAAATTCTTATATAGCTACCTCCAACTGCCCTAATTCACAAAAGTAAATAAAATACAATTACTTCCTCCCTATCCAAAAACAATCAATAAAGGGTCCAACAAAAATGGCTTTGGTCTCCCTACCTCCCCAAAATAAATACTATGTACAATTGTTTACAGTTATGAGAGCTAACGGGTGCAAACATTGGCAATCCACAATCAAAGTCAACGAACGTGCGGTAGTTGGTATTATTATAATTAAGTTGGCTATAGGCAAACTAGCAAACTATCTCTCACAGGAAAACACTCCGTTGAACACACAAAGATACTGTAACGAGGGAGGCGTGATGACAAAGTGGGGATCCAAATGCAAGACTTTAATAAGAGCGTAGTCAAACAGGCGTGGTCAACAACAGCAAACAACGATGGCAGTGGCAAGGCAAAAGAGTAATCCAGATAATCAGGCAATGGTCAGGGCAGGCAGCAAAACAATCATAAACAAGAAAACAGTCCAGGGATCAAAACACAAAGGCAAGGAAACAGAGAAACACGGAAACTTAGAAACCACGGAAGAGCTGTACAACATTCAATCACCAGCGCGTGTGTGTGCTATTCTTAAAGTCCTACTAATGTGAGACAGCTGTGAACTGATGATGAGATCTGATGAGAGACAGGTGATGCACTTGATGAGTCCGGGCAAAGGATTATGGGAAATGGAGTCCTGAGTGAATGGCAAGGTACAGAATGGAGTGCCCTCTAGAGGAGCTCATGGGCACTCCAGCTGGAGATCATGACAGCTACACAGTCTTACTAACACGGTCTGAAACTAACTAGCAAAGTCAAGCAGGGCAAATATAGCAAGTAAGCAAGAGGCTACTGCAGGAAGTGATGAAATGGCTAGGTGATCCTTTCAGACCTTCTCCACAGCAGCTCCAAGATGTTCTTATTTCATTGCTACAACATTCAAGTGAGCGTTGAAATGCATGTATATATATATCAATGTTTTATGGATTGCCATATGTGTAGACACATATTTTCGTTATTAAAGTTACTAGGACTTACTATAGGCTATATATAGTTAAATTGAAGTTAGGCATGTTGAAGCATATCTGTAGCTATCAGTATTAACTGTTTTAAGGTCACTAATTTATGAGTGACAGTGATTTTTGATGGTTATGAATGTTACTGTAGAATGATCTAAATGTATAAATCCCAAATGACATTGGACACCAATCCAGATGGTAATTCTACATCTAATACAAGCATACATAATCAAATACATACAAATATAAAGTAAGATAGTTTTGCTATGAAAACTGCTAATGCTGCAATTTGATATTTTTAAATTCACAAAAGTGTTGGGCAAATATCCCCTCAAAGTTGTTAGTCTTCAATCAACCAATCAACCAATCAATCAATCAATCAATCAATCAATCAATCAATCAACCAATCAATCAATCAATCAATCCTTATTTCCAGTTTGTCTTCATGAATTCTCAGTACTTTGCTCTCCCATTGAAAGCATTCATAGATTTATGTTTTGAGTTTAGCTGAGATCTTTAGAACAACACTTTTTCTTTATATAATCTTTTTTCTTTACATAACCTAATTATATAATCTATCAGTGCTCATATTTAAATACTGTAAGTGAGGCTTGCAGGTTATCTGATGAGTTTTATGATGATATGACTTTGGTGCATATTAACATTCAAATGTGATAACTGTTATCATTATCCATCAGTGTTCATTTAATGTGCTTAGGCATTAGTTAATATGTTCATGTCCTTATGATATCATAAAAACAATGTCCTTTAAATTTTCTCTGTAATTCCTAAGAACAACGTCACAATGCAGTCGCTTATTGCTTCCTTCTGCTTTTTTGTGGCCTATTCACAATTATACTGGATATGGCAGAGAGGGATAAAAAGCAAGACTGAAGAGTCTCACTTTGATAAAGAAGATTATCTGCATTAAACAAAAACATAGCAATAATCAGACTTGACTCACATCATTCGTGGCCTGGAATGTCAAGAATTATAAATGACAATGCAAATCATCTGAACATAAAAGTTCTTTTTTTTTAATTAAAAATCACATGAATGAACAAATTTGATTCTCAAAAATATTTGAAATGCAGCCTTCACAAATAATTTTTTGTCAGACTCTCACTGGAAAGTCATGATTTTCCTTTTATCAAGGTCAGTCTACTGTCAAATTCCAGGGATATCGAGAAGAGGAGTGTAATCTGTATTCTAGATATTTTAATTGTTGGTACACTGCATGAAACTATTTGCCATTTATTG